TTTTATTTTTTAAATAGTATTTATATTTTTTCGTATTTATTTTTAATTGTTTATATTATCCTCGTAATAGGAGTTCGTATTATTGTAATCTGAAAACATATATTAACATATAATATTATTGATTATCCAAGACACATAATTAAGGATTTCCATATATAAGTAAACGGATCCAAAATAATATTAGTATTACCCACCATAAATAATATAAGTAAGGTGATGAGTAATATACTCGTGATCATCATTTTCAAATTTAGTATTATTTAGGATTGTTTCTTAATATATTTTTTTTTGTAAAAAAATAATATTCTAATTTCCATTAATATAGGTACTCTATTGATTTTAACTCTTATTATACACGAATTTCCACAATAAATCTTTGTAACTTATTATTTAAGTATGTAATTTTTAAATATGAAAGTAAGATAAAGGATTAATATATGTAGCATTCCTAAAATTCTATTTCAATTAAATGAAAAATATTATATTTGTTTTTTAAATAGTATTCATATTTTTTCATATTTATTTTTAATTATTTTATATTATCATCACAATAGGAGTTCGTATTGTTGTAATATGAAGGAAAAAATTTCGTTGAAGGCCAGTGATTATCGCGTAGAAAATCTGCGGTCAATTGTTTCCAACAGGAGATCTGTTGGTGCATCGTATATAATTTATTTTCGCTGGTTTACTTGGATATTACGTGGCGTGCTGACATGTTTAAATTTTGCCACATAGACATGCCAAATGTCGAATTTCTGTGCATCGGAGTCTTCTTTATTATATTAAAGGATTATTTAATTAAACAAATTTGTTTTGGTTAAAATAAATTATTGTTGGGCCTAGGGCCGAAATAAAATATATTTTGGTATCCAATACTACAATCTGGATAAATCTCATAGATATAAATCCAATATGTTGACTATATGTGTGACCGTTATTAAGGGACCAGAGTACACAACCAAATTAAAAATAAATGAAGAATTTGATTTCTAATGTAACTTTTGAGAAATAAATCATATGAATAAATATTATGAATTGAATATGAGAATCTTTAGAATAACAGATTTATTAAATCGATTTTGACTTTGTCAAGTCAAACACTCAAAAATATGATGTCGGAAAAAGTATTACAAATAAATATAAAAATTATATCGTTGGATAGAGTTTGATTATCCGATCGCAACGGTACAATCAGAATTTAATGCGGAGAAAGTTGGACCAAAAAGTGCACTCCGACTGAGAACAATTTAGTCCCAATCAGGGAGTAGAGTATTGAATTGCCTAATGTCGCACTTTCGCCGAATAAATTTGTGAATTGGGGTCTGACTCAACCTAGTGTATTCTTTTTCAACTCCTCTACTATATAAGTGAGACCAAAATTCTCCATTTCTTCACCATTCTATACCATTCTTGTTGTGGGAGGAAGCTGAGAGTCCAGAGAGCATAATGCAATGTTGGTTGCTGGCGAGGTCGCCGGAGTTCGTAGTAATTGTCGCTAAAAATTTCACCGGAAAATTTCTAAAACCTCTAATTTAGCCCGAGATTAGCTCTTAGATATATCTAGTTATTAGAATGTTCGTATAAATCATTTCTACGTTCATAAACGGTCATTTGGTTGAGTTTTGTGTTTGACATGCTTGAAGAACCAAGAATCATAAACCTTGAAATTGTTGTTAAACTACGAACTAATGATGTCAAAATGATCTGTGAACTTTAGAGAACATCTCCATATATTTTAATTAAGTTTGATGACTAAAAATGAAGTTTTTGAAAATTGGTTCGAGGTTGAAGATGACAATGTTTAAAACTGACGCAGAAGCGATAACGAGCTATGGCCTGGACAGTACCGTCGGTGCGGTTGGCCGTACCGCCAGTAACGGTAGGCAGGTACCGTCACAAGACAAAATTCACTGGCTGTATCTGACACCAGGTGGTACCCCATACCCTCTGGGCGGTACTAAAGTACCGTGTAATCGTTACCGAGGTATTGTAAAGGGTACCGTCTGAACCGGAAACTTTTTCATAAACCTGATTTTTGAACTGTAAAATCCTATTTTTGATACCATTCAATTATGATCAATATGAAAATGATTTCTCGAAATAAATATTATATTTTGACCAATCCAAGAACTGTGTGTGATGGATGATGGTAAGCTAGGGTGTTAACACTAGATGCCAGGCCGCTATTAGTTATTGAATATTATGATGATTATTATTACTTATTGATTATGATTAAACCTTAATAAATTTCCTGATTAAAATTTTAATTATGAATGATTGAACCATCATTTAAAAAAATATTCTGATGATTATGAAAATGATATTGATTTTTAAGGGTATCTAGAAGAAGCCTAAGATATACCCATGTGACCAATATCGTTAGGCCTTACGGATATGATGCCTGGTGACCAGGGTTAAAACATATGTACAGAATCCACAAACCAAACTTGAGTACCTACTCGTTTAGGGGTACCACCCAACCCGATGGTGACTAGTCCGCTGTTCGGTTTGAGCGTGATCCAAAGACTCGCGAGATGAATCATCGATTCTTGTGTTTTGTCTTAAACTAAATATAGTTTAAGATCCCGGTTAAAAATAGTCTTAGACTAGTTATAGTTTAAGAGCTCAGTTATCAATATGAATTTGGTCTTAGACTAAGAATAAATTTAAGAGCGTTGTTATGATTTGGCTTAAGACTAAGAATAGTTTAAGAACATTGTTGATATAATAAATATGGAATATGAGAGCACTGAAAATGGTCTCGAAGCCCGGGGCTTCAAACTTCCTCTCTCTACCACATCAGCTTTAACTTACCTCACCAATTCACTGAAAAATGGGTTTGAAGCCCCGGGGCTTCAAACTGGGACTTCAAGCTTTCATTTTTACATTTTAAATACACATCTTCTAAAATTAAATTAATAAGATTTAATTATTAAATTTTATTCACTAAAAAAATAACATTCATAAAGAATAAATAAATTCATTAATTTAAAAAAATTACATTCGTTCATTAAAAAATTACATTTATTAAATAAAAAAATTACATTCATTAATAAAAAAAATTATATTCATTGAATAAAAAAAGTACACTGTGCGATAACGGGAAAGGGGGGCGGGGGCTCCAACGGCCAAATTTTGGCCTACAATTTACTTCAAAAGATTGACACTGCAAAAGTAACGATGCTATATTCGGGAATGAGGTGGTGTTTAGCGCCCCCACGCGTCAAAATGAGCATAATGTCGTTGGGCGTTAGTGGTATTACCACTGCCCTAAGAATCAAAAGGCATGTGTTGATATCAAATGATCTGATATGAATTAATATTGATTATCTAAATTGATATATTATGCGCATGATATCAAATGATTTGATTATTAATTGAGATTCAATTTATGTGGATGTTCAATGCATTAGATATCCTTACTCAGATTCACCGCAGAGCGTGTAGTATGTCTTATTTGATACACGCAAGTAAACAGAAAGAATGGTATAACATGATTCTGGCGGCACACGGAGGTGAGATTGTCATGATTGATGTGATGGTTTTAAATTTTTATTTGGACATGAATTAATTGTGTTTGTGATTATGATTTGTTAAAAGCTTTCGCAGCGTTGAAAACTCAGTTGTCATTATTTTATCCAATTGATGTACCATTTAATCTTTATTTAATTAAAGATTAGAAGTCAATCCTTATGAGTGTATAAATCTAAAACAGGACAAATACTCCAAGAAAGATATATCATACTCCGTATATTTAAGAACAACAACAAGAGTTCTATAATACAATAGTAACATTATTTTTTTTAAACTGAATGGTGCAAATATGTATAGAAAGTGATTAAAATTTAACCTTATAATTAGTAAATATGTAAATTAAATTGAAACAGAAGCATTAATTAGAACTTTGCACAATTTAATGAAAACGTGAAATTGAAAAAGAAAATTAATCAAACACGAGAAGATAATTTAAGACTTAATAACTTGAGATTCCCGCACCAATTAGAAATTGCAGAACCATCCATTAATAGTAGAGTTGTTTTATTATGGTCATAAGGTCTACATGTAAATTTCATATTTTTTTCATAGGTTTGTAGTTCAACTTTTTTTCAAGGCATAATACATCTAATCATTTCATTTACTTGATCCATAAAATGAATATAGACCTAAAAACCATCAAAGAATTAGTCGTAATAATAATAGAACTCTATGAAAATTGAAAAGTTAAATGTTTTTTATGTGACTTATAAATAAGGGGTTGAATCCGCCATATATTACTTTCGTCCCAAAGAATTTGTTCAATTTTAACTTTTCATACTCAACTAGAATTGATATTTGACTTATAATTAAATAAAAATTACTCTATTTATTAACTAGATAAAAATATTTCACAAGATGAGTCTAGTAGTATTGTTTTTGTATCAATATCTAATATAAATGTTATTTAATCAATTGCCAAAGTTTATCATTTTTTAATGCAAAATGTTAAACTAGACAAATTCTCTCAACAGGAAGTAATATTTTCTTCCTCCCAAATTAAATTGTATATTTATTATTTACAACATCAATTTTCATTTTTCTCTATTTTTATTAATCATTTGATAAAATATATGTCACCTCTCATTAAGTGAAATCTTTAGTGTTGCTTTTAAATATGTAAATTTTATTTTTTGAAAATACCTCAATTTTTAAATAATTTATTTTAAAAATAACTTCTCAAATATCATAAACCAAAACAAATAATTCAAATAAAGACGGATAAAATACCAAAAAGAGTTATAAATGACTTTCATCCATCTATGAATAGATAGTGGTGGCAGAGGACTGAATGCTCGTGTAACCAGTTCAAATTTGGTTCTTGACAAACAAATTTTTTTACTCTCTCCTTTCTTAAATAAAAAAAAGATGAAACCAGCAAGAGGCTCTAACATATATCTTTCAGTACAATCACTAGAAATCAAACTCAAATATTACCCTTGAGCACCTTTTGCCTTGCCAACTATCAAAATATCTCTTTTCTTAGCACTACAACCATGAGGGCCTCGATATTAAATTCCTCCGTGATTGGATTCATAAACAACGGCCCTCTTTTTATTCGATGGCTCTAAAACGTGGAGTCTTTTAATGTAAACTTCTATTTTTATTCGATGGCTCTAAAACGTGGAGTCTTTTATTTAATAATGTAAACTTTGGACAAACATTTGCATTCGAGCCAGGATCAGGCTTTGGGAAACAAGCCCAAAACCCGATCGAACGAAAGGTTTCCACTCATTTTTACCGAACACAAAACTCAAGCCTTATCTTTGTGCCTTGCAAGCCCTCCCAAAAATGACAGCTTTCGGGCTTGGACGGATAGCCCGATCCACATTCACCCCCTACTAACAAGTCACAACTATCACCATTTGGTACAATGGTTACTCAATTCAAATTACTCCTATGACACCCATTAGCCAGCATGGTACCAAGAGTATTCAAAATGCCTAAGCTCATCATGATCCGGTTTCGGAACAAATTAATGCCCACCAAAAACAACCTATGACGTTCGCAAAAGTACACATCCAAACTAGCCTTCAAAGAAAAAGGGAAACCACAGCGCTATGAAATAAACTCCTTCAGTTACGATTAAATCTCACACAACTAACAGAGGACTTGACATTTCCACTTACCGAAAGATCTGGTTCAACACAGACGGCAATTGAAGGCTTCAATAGCGGTCAGCAAAGGAGGGAGACTGACCGCCCCTTCTAGGGCGGTCATATGGTCCTGCCCGGCTGTCCCTGTAGCTTCTGCCCCCCTCATAACGCGCTGGCCCACCTGCTCCAGCTGCATATCTGTCGCTGCTCACTCTTCCACCCCCTCCTCCATCACGGCCATACACTGCCCTCTCTTTCCCATAGCTTCCATTCAAAGCGAAACGGTCTGCGCCTCCATATCTATTGCCTGCAAACCGATCTCCACTAGCAGCATACCTGATCATTATATTATACAGAGTCATTTCAAAGCTTAAATAGTGCCTTGAGAATTTCTCCATACATCCCCCAATAAGTGCCCTATATGGATCTTTTAAAGTGTACAATTTGGAAACTGATGTCCCACAAAATGTACTTTGTATCAATAGAAGAAAAGAATAGACCATTCATATACTTGATGCATCTTTAATACTCCGTATAATTCAAAAAAAATATCGTTAAAGAAAATGCTGAATCTAGCTTAACCAACAAATAGCTTAATAGTTGTATCTTTCAGAACAAAAATTTTAAATTTTTGGTCCCATGACTATTTATGTCACTTTCCTTTGGTGGCCCCAATTTTCCTTTTTCAATCTACTTTTTGTGCATGACAATGAATTTCTTGCCACTCTGGTTTTTATAATCGCTCAACACAGACCCATTTCAATATAATGTATAGTTTCTTTTTTGCAAGATATTTAAACAGAAGAACTGAAAGAGCAAGTTCATGATACTGGTAAAAAGTGATTTTAAAAAGTTAGGGATCAAAAGTGAAATGACCTAATAGTGGTGAGACCAAAAGTGAAAATTTCAGATAAAAAAACTTAAAAACTACACCTTCATAAAACAAGACATTTTTTGGATTTTTGTTAGTACAACCTTTTACAGAAAAAATTATTAACGTTCTCAATTCTCACAAAAGCTTACCTGTCACTAACATACCGATCACGGCTCCCATAGCGGTCATCTCTACTATCAAGACGATCTCCCCTGTCGCTATAGTGACCTCTATCATAGCGATCTTCCACGTACCTATCACGGTGATCACTGCCAAAGCGATCACCACGACCACCAAACCTGGACCGTGGGGGAGGTGTCAATGGGCGGCCACCTCGACCACCACCACCTTCTAATGGGCAGTCTCGGGCCCAGTGGCCTGGACGACCACACCTGAAACAAGTATCCTGCCCTGATGACCTATCCAGCCCCCCATAGCTTCCCCCCCTACCGCCAGATGTGTAACCTCCACCACTGTAGCTGTCCCTTCCACCACCAGAAGAGTACCCTTCGCCATAGCCACCATGGTCCACACCATCTCCCCCCATCCTAGGTTGGGCCTTGTTAACTGAGATCATCCGCCCACCCAACTCACTACCATTCATATCTCTTATTGCATTCTCCATTGCCCTGCGGTCACTAAATGTTAAAAATCCAAATCCACGAGGACGATGTGTGTCTCTTTCCAGCATAACCTGTGAGGCTCTGATGCATCAGTAAATGATAACAAAAAACAACACAGAAGAAGCAATATATTCACAAGGACACCATTTTTTAAGCCAAAAGGGGAAAAAAAAGTATGCAAGGCCCCCATGTCATGCGCACTCTCTGGGAAAGGAAAAGGTATGCACATTAAAGACCCGCCCCTCTTCATAAAGCTTAGCTCCAGGAGCTAACCCTAGTTTTAAACAATCACTTAGTGTATGTTTGGCTCTTGCATCATATCAGCCTTCTAGTGATGTCTGAATTTGGCTTAAGCAACCCTTTGATAGCAAGAGTAAAAATGAAGTACAAAGTTTACATGGTTTTAAATTTTTATCCAAATTGATAAAATTTCTAGTCCAAATACGTGGTCAAAAAAATTTGAAAATTATTTATATTATTTTCCAAAAATATGTAGTAGATCATTAAACCTTGAAAATATGTGTGTACCTTCATGCAGAGCCAACTTTATCTTCAGGACACATCAAGCTATTGAAAAGTTCATGCTAATATTGACAAAGCTCTAATGTGTTGGTTGTTTGAAGATAGGAGAGAGAAATAGGAATGAGGCATTAATGTGTGTAAAAAGTAACACAAAGTAATCTCACCTTTAATTTTTGCAAAAAGTAATCTCACCTTTCAAAATAGTTACGCAAAATGCATCCAAGTTAACTCCATCGGTTTAATATTAACGGCGGGGTGCATTCCTGGCAAGAGCTCTAAAAGGTGAGATTATTCAGTGCCTATCCTAATGGTCAAATTATAATCAACAACCCGACAAAAGGTCAGATTATTGTGCACAACTGCACAAAGTTTTCATTTTTCAAGTACCATATTCAGATCATTTTAAATAAGACGCTGTTTTTTATTAAATATTATTCAATTAACATTGCATTTTTTCTCTAGTCTCCACCTTATAAAACTCTAAGAATGGAGAAAGAATGCAAATCTCATTGAATTTGTGTTTATCTAAAATGATCTTGATATAGTATTTGAATAATGAAAAAACTACGTGCAATGATCTGACCTTTTACCATAATGTTAACTATAATTTGACCTATAATATACGCACTAAATAATCCCACTTTACGAGTTGTTGCACGAAATGTACCCCGCCATTACTGCTAAACTAATAACATTTTGTGCTACTTTGAAAGGTCGAATTAATCCTTGCAAATATTAAAGGGGGGATTACTAAGCAGCCTGTTAAAAGGAAGGTCAGGTTATTCTATGGGAATTTTCCTATAAAATCATATAAATTTATGTCCTTTCTCATTCATTTCAGTCTACTTTTAGTTGTTTTAGCCTGCTCTGCTCTTTTCCTCACAACCTTCATCTCACACTTCTTCTTTCTCCTAAAACTCTCTCAAACTTCAACAAAACAAATGTTTTGTTGAGAGTACTTATTGAAAACTCAGAAGCAAGAGCAAGAAAAGTATAAGTAGAGTGGACTTTTTTGGGAAGACAATGAAATTAAAGCAAAGCGTATACATGTCATTTTGTTGGAGAATATTGTAATCACACTAATAACTAAAAATTAGGGGGTGAGAATTGTTATTAAAAACCACTGAGATGTGGGCTTGCAAAAATTTAAAAAAAAGCTTTTCCCAATTGGACAAGAAGTAAAAGCATAATCTTAGACGAAAGAAACATATAGTAAAAACGCACAAAGCACGTTAACATACATTACATGCAGTTACAAAATAATTTCTTTAGGGTGTTTTGGTTAAAGAGGAGAGAACGTGGTGTTTTTCTTTACATGTTATGTTGTTTGTTGAAGGGGGCTTTTTTCGTGTTTGCTTGGAGAAATTTGGGGGAAAGGGAACCCACACTTAATTTTGTGAACAAAATGAGTTGAAGGAAGCATTTTCTCTCCTCTTAAATCCCTTCCATCCAAACACACTTTAATGAAAAAGAAAATATGTGGCAATGGAACAGAGAGGAAGAAAAGTAATGCATCACTCTTAGAAAGATATTGTGAGGTCAGAGTTGCTTTGTTTGTGAATGATAACGCAAGTGATGTAATTTTAAAGTTTTACTTGTATTGGACTATCCAGGGAATGAATACTCATTTCATCCCAAAAATACATATAAAGCAAAGACAAAATTACATATATCATATGTAAAGGGAAACCAATGCACACCAATGAATCGCAATGGATGAACCATAATGCAACAATTTGAAAAAAACAATGATATGTTGATTCCTTATTGATGACAAGCATGCAATATGCCAAAGGAACTCTTACTTGATGAGAATATGAGATGGATATGTAGTACTACAATTTTCCATTATTTGAGGTGCTAAGACAATTACATTGCCTCAGCTCTTGTTCTGTGCGATCAAACAATCAACAACAAAAATCAAACCACAAAAATGAAGACTTTCTCTCTCCGTAAGTGATTCTACACCACTTTAACTGGATGCAGAACCTCAGTGATCTTTTCATCTTCATAAGAATTTCTTAATGGACTAAAAGGTATAGAAAAACAGTAGGCTTCAGTTGGTCAAACATGCTGGCCCGTAGAATAATGCAGCACGAAGAAAGTCACTATTAGGATATTTCCCGGGAAGCTTACATCACTGTTTCAATCAATTGCCCCATAACTTGCCCCTATCTGATTAACTACACCACTGACGTGCCAACTAATCCTTGCAAGAGGCAATTACCAACTAGAGACCATCAACTGATTCACTTTAAGTACACTTGTCAACTGCGTACTGGCCACCTCTCATTAGTCACCAAGGCCAAAGGAAACAACTTCAAGCCAAAACAGAACCATCTGGAAAAAGCTAAGCGCTGATGGTAACTGGAGCAGCCGAGCAGGCAGAAATGGTGAACAGTCAGAGTAGCCCCACACATGAAAGATCAGATGGGATGATGCCAGTGAATCTATTACAGGCAAAGCAGTCTGGAGATAAAACTTATCCCAAAAGCAGATGCATACTCAAATTAAATTTCAAACTTGAGCCTTTCGGTGCGCATGTTCAAGTCAGCTGATCTTAAGAGTTACACATTATAACCTTAGCAACAAAGAAAGCACCACAAAAGAAAAAAATATAACCCCAGCTATAACCCCATACTGGTCCGCGGTTCTGCTAATGGAATGAAGGAACTATCTAAATCGGACAAAGCAAACCCAAGAAAGAAGTCGTTTACTAGTTCATGGGCAGCAACAGTGGCAACAGTGGCTATCAAATTGCTCAAGACAGATAAAGAATCTAGCATGACTAACTCCATCATGTTCTTCAGCATGCTTGATGCAAACTCAGATAGTCACCAACCCACATGGCTTCACAACTCGGTTACGGCTCTGTTCATAGGACACACATACGACACGAGTGAAATGGACCATTAGCCTAATGGTTTCAAAATTCAAAAACATGAGATGGTACCAGATGCGGTTCTATCAAATCAAAATGATTGGATACGAGACCTAAATGTTTTCTCACAACAGACTATATCTATCAAAACAAATATCCTCACAACTCTAAAAGTGAAGAAACACCTTGACCCCACAAGCATAGGATCTGGGACAGAGCATAATTTTTACGAGCGCGGGAGCTACTAGGGGCTTTATGGTGAAAATCCCATGGTGGAAAGTCAAATCAAAATTGAGGAACTCCAATTAGAACTTCCAAAACAACATATCACACTTCATAATCCATTGCATTGTAGAGAGTGACGCCTTACGTTGATCGAAGCTCAACAATATAATGCATCCACACACACACACACAAAACCACGTAAAATACTGAAGAATATTCAACTAGAAGCTTCTTCATGTTGCACCCATTAGCTCCTTTAAGCAATTGTCTATAAACTTGGTTAAATATAAGTCATCTGTTAGTAGTGTACAAGTTGAGAAGGCTCCATGTTTGTCCATTAAACATTATTAAATCTTAATAGGACTTCTGAACTCAGGAGTATGGAAATGCAAACAGTTGCTGAGAACTAGTTCACTAATAAGCAAACCTCTCTCTTATCCTTGTGTGAATGGTCTCTTGTTTATAACGTGAAAAATGTAACATCTCTATGTACTCAGCCTTGTTATACATCAGCATCGTTTGCTAGTAAAACCACACAGCTTGGGACTAAATTAGTGATGAAAGACAATCTGTTCTATAGGCTCATACTTCTATATCTTCATGTTATATAGGTCAACATATGGAATGTGATGATAGCATCTCGTATTGCATCCTTGTCTGCATTTTTGTTACCCAGGAAAGCATTGTATGTCGGAGGTAAAGGGTATATGAGTAGCCTCACTGTGTACAATTAGCTATTGAACTGATTCAAGGCAGCTATTCAGAAAACGTTGAACCAAGTAACCAACACATGTCCATAAACCACCTGCCCCAAATTAACCCACAAAATTGATGCAAGAAGTCTTGCACGTTAGCATGCATTTGATTAGATAATGTCTTCCCATGAACCACTCTAGTAAATCAACAAATACAAACAATCGGCTGAACAGAACAAAGCAACACAAACAACACTGCACTCTTTTAACGATGCGCATTCCATTGAACAACATCCTCAGAATGTTCCATCTATGATATACCAAAGATCCAAGCAAAATCAGATTCCAAAAGGAAAAACCAAGATGAAAATTAACAATATCAAGGTAGAAGGAGAAAAAAGACTGAGCATATCTTATATATTTTCTGGTTTCCGACTGCCATTGTAATATTAAGACACTGAGAAATTCAAGATCTTGGATATAAAAAAATCAAGTTTCAACTTCTAAGTTCAATGGAGCAAGGGAAACACAATGTGCATTTTGTGCAATATAAGCATAATTGCTGAAAAGAAGACAAGGAAGTAATTAACCTCAGAAGGTTGCAGTTTTAAATTGTAGGTCTATGCCAAAAATAAATAACACATACTCCCTCCATCCCTATATTAATACCCGGTTTGACTAGGCAAGCGGGCACAGAGTTTAAAGAAAATGATTCAAATTCAGAGCCCAGAGAAACCTGACCTGAAGGTCATTCCTTACCAAATCTCTGAAATTTTTGTGTCATGAATTCTTTTTAATACTAAAAGGTACATTCAGTGTATAAAAACATTATTATAATAATATTAAAAAATAATAATATTATTAATAATTATTATAATAACAAAAAGACTTATCCCACACCACCAGATGACAGGGTTAAACAAATCATTCCAAATCTTTACTTTGTTACCAATACCATCCGACTGGCGGGCAATAACTTTCAGTTTCTCCCATTCTCATACCAGAAGAGCAGACTGAACACAGACATGCCCATAGACACATCCTCAACACGGCAGAATTTCATCATAAAATCAACAACATAATAGCTTGATCCGAAGTACAACACGCACCTGACTGTCGACGACTTTCCCGAAACGGCTAAAAGCATCTTCGAGCTGACGCTCGGTGATGTCCCACGACAGCCCACCGATGAATATGCGATACTCCTGATCCTTCCCCGACATCCTTGGCTCTCTAATTACGAATTCCAAACAGTTTTGCAAATAAAAGAGGTGACGAAACCTGAGATTTGAACAGACCACCCCACAAAGTTATAACAGAGAAGCAGAAAACTAGAAAGGAACATATTCACAAATTCAAAACATCACACGTACACACTCGATCCTGCGCTGTAGACTCCTAACGTCTTCCCCAGATAGCAACTTGGCAAGTAGTCTGGGATCTCAGAGATTATATTATGCTAAAAGTTCAGACGCTAAAAAACCCTAGAAGACATTATAGGAGTTTTTTCAAGAGGTACACCACAAAAGTGTACTCCAAGTTGTACCATTATACTCTAAACAAATACATCGATATTTTAACGATCCACGCTGGAAGAAAATGTTGGTTCAATTAAAAAATTGCACTGATATTTTTTGTCATAGTAATTCATCACATTGGCACAAAATGTCAGTGCATGCTTTTGGGGTACAACGGAATGGATGTAGTATTTTTTTTCCTCCGCACATTATGTCAAAATACCTCGATATATACTGTACAACCGGTTGTATGGTGTTTTTCATACATACACAACAAATATTCAATTACGAGTAACTGAATACTCATTTTTTAGTAAATGAATATTCAAATTTGAGTGACTATATACCCCCTCCATCTGAAAAATAATCTTTTCAATCTACCTTGTTTGTCTGAAAAAAATCTTCTCATTCTACTTTTTCATCTCAATCCTTCCAAAAATCTCCCCCTACTTCGTCTTCTTCTCATCATTAGCATTCTTCTTTCTCTTTCGTCTTCCCTCATATATACGCCTTTCCCCCCTTTCTTTTTGTTCTTATTCTTCTCGATATGTGCTAGATCTATGGGTCTTGCGACAATGGCACAGCGCGCATACGGTAGCCGTGGGAGCTGGATCCAGTACATTTGTACTAGATCTTTTTCATTTCGTTTTCTTCCCTTTTATTTTCTCTTCCCTAATGGTGAGGACTGAAGGAGATGGTGAGGGTATGGACGGCGATGATGCAGTTGTCAATGGTGGGCGGGGGGCGGAAGTCGGCTGGGGCAGCGATGACAAAGCAAAAGTGGGGCGGCGTGTATGGATGCCAAACTATTGGATTTACTCCGATGGATTTATAAATATTGTCTTAAATGTTTTAAATTCTTTTGAAAAATATTGTGTATGGATGCCAAACTAGTGGAAACCTGATCTGTTATTCTATGTATTCAAGTTACGCGGATGAGGGTGTTACATTTTGGTATCGGAGAATGTGGTTTTAAAATCAGTCTCTAGACCCTTTCAAAAAGAAAAATTTAAAAAAGAAAAGAGTTGTTTCAAAAAAAATTGAAAATGAGATTGTACAAAATTTAAAAAAGTACTTAGCTATTGCATCCGCATCTCTCTGTCAACTATTGGACATTGAACACTAATACTACATTAGGAAAATAAAGCATATGATATTACATTGGAAAAGTCATTATATTTTAGTCCTATTTAAGTAAATTCCCTTATGTTTTAGTCCAGATACGATTTCTTTATATTTTATTTAAAGTTTGTTAAAAAATTAAAAAAATGGTGTTTCACATAAATGATATAAATCACATAAATATAATGTTATACATTAAAAATTAATAGATGTAATATATTTGTGGAACTGAATACTCGAGTTTTACCGCTTTGGTCTTTTTACCTTATTTGGTCCGATCTCCGGTCACTGCATTGCCTCTTATTCGTTCTCGGTCTGGTCCTAGTTTAGGCCAATTCAATCTAGACTTAGACCCATGCACACCAGGGGTGAGCAAATTAACCGGGCTAATCGCGAAACCGAAATAACCAAAAGTTTGGTTCTTGTTTCGGTTTCAAATTTCATGTAAAACACATTTTTGATTTTTTGGTTTTTCGCGAAACCGACCGAATAACCGATGATTTTATTTTAATTTATTTTTATTTTTTAAAATAAGAAAATACTCCGTATTTGATTAACACGCATGTTTTCTGCTTCTTCTTCTTGTTGCTTTCTTTTTACTTTTTCATGAAAAACTTGATTGTTTAACTTTTAAAAAAATTATTTGTTAATGTTTTGAGCATATTAATAAGAAAAGTGCAATTTTTATATGAAATTAATAGTGTATATTTAAATAAAAATTAATCTACCTCACTAAATTAATGACAATAGAAAAGTTTTAATCTAAACTAATTTGATACGTATCAATCTACTTTGCCGAATTAGTTTTCTTGAATTTTTATTAAAAAGTCAAAATAAAAGTATTTAAAATTCAGTTTTTAGATTGGTTTTTTGTTGTACGAGCGGCTTTCGGTTTTGATTTAGCCTATGATCGGTTTGGTTCGGTCGGTTTTCAACCAATGCTTCCCTACCAGGCAGCAATGTCAGACTCACCTTATCTCAATGTCAGTGAGATGAGATTGCCCCGATCCAAAAAGAAGGAATACGGCAGCAATGTCGGCGAAGAGAAACCACAGCGACGACGACGATGACGACATCTTTTACTACCGTTACGCCATAGGATCTCTACCGCCTTCAACCTCCTCCTCCAAAACCCTAACCACCGCTTCAACCACCTCGCGCGGCGGCAGCGGCCGCCTAGCGCCATCTAAGTCCACAGTCTATGTCAGCAACCTAGATTTCTCCCTCACCAATTCCGACATCCACACCATATTCTCCACCTTCGGCAAGGTCGCCAAGGTCACTGTTCTCAAGGATCGGGATACCAGGAGAAGTAGAGGAGTTGCCTTCGTCCTCTTCGTTTCCCGCGAGGATGCCATCAAAGCTGTTAAAGGGATTGACAAAAAGCTCCTCAACGGCCGGACTTTGTCCGCCTCAATTGCGTCTGATAATGGCCGGGCAGCAGAGTTTATCCGGCGGAAGGTGTACACGGACAAGAGTAGGTGCTATGAATGCGGCCTGGAGGGGCACTTGTCTTATGAGTGCCCGAAGAATCAGCTTGGTCGGAGGGAAAGGCCTGAGCCATCAAAGAAAGGGCGGAGGAGAGGTGGGGCTGACGGTAAGGATAACCTTGATGGGCTGGGTTGGGGACGAGAGGACGAGGAAGGGGAAGATGAAGAAGAGGATAGAGGAGATGGTTTTGAGGAGGAGAATTGGGCGTCCGCTGTCGATGGAGATGCAGGGGAGAGATTACTAAATGGAGGAGGAGACACTGAGGAAAAGAAGAAATTGAAAAGAGAGAAGAGAAGAGGATATTTTAGCGACGAGAGCGAAGAGGAAGACTGATTTTTTCGCTCACCAAGGAGTGTAGATTGTTATATCTGATTAGCTGTTGGATTAGAGGGGGAAGGTCTCACAGGAAAGGTATGAACTTTATCTATTGAGATTTGTTTCATCATACACATCTTTTATCTGATTATGTTGTATTTGATCTGAAGTTGACTTGATATAATGATTTGTGGTTACCAATGAATTTTTTACCTAGATGATAGAGTATGCTACATTTGCATTCACATTTTTTGTTATTCTGCTAGTCTAGCTGTATCGCCCCACAATTGTTGTAACCTCATCCAAGCCAAAGAAACTCAAAATATCTCAATACTTGATATAATGATTTGTGGTTACCAATGAATTTTTTACCTAGATGATAGAGTATGCTACATTTGCATTCGCATTTTCTGTGATTCTGCTAGTCTAGCTGTATCACCCCACAGTTGTTGTAACCTCATCCAAGCCAAAGAAACTCAAAATATCTCAATACTTACCTCTACCACAAGTCATGTAGATGCTGCCTACAATGACTGCAGAACTTTAACACGACTGCCTCAAGAACTCCTATCATAGATTTAGAGTTCATGTACTCTGAGAGGTTTAAGACTGACAAGTCTATCCCTAAAGCTTATGAGATGCCCCCTTTTTATTATAGAGAAATGCATCCATCGAACATCCATAGTTTGAAGAAAGAAACAAAAGGATAACTGAAATCTAGCTCAATCTTGATCTGCCTCAAACCTAGCTCAATCTCGAATGCCCGGTAATGATGCCGAAGCAACCGAGTTTGGTCCATACTCCATAACAAAATGACCATTGTGACCATAGCCGCAGTTGGTCTATAAATTGTGCGGACCCCGTGATCGCGTTTGGTCTAGAATCGTAAGCCTTAAAGTGTATTGCCCAACCGTGCCCCGTGGTCAATAAATAAACTTGACCGGAGCAGGATGACCAATGGCTTTGTTCGGTCCAGTTTTTATAACCATTGAAGCCATAGCCGTGATCAGTCCAATGAATTGACCGGAATGGCCGTAGTCATTTTTGGTCCGAGTGGGGTGACCGTTCTGGCCATAGCCGCAGTCGGTCCATAAGAGATGACCTGTAATGCCCCAAAATATACCCTAGAATTTTATGAAAAAATTCTGATAAATCATAACACTAATTTTGATTTAAATTTTAAATAAAATGAAACGACAGTGCTAAAATAAGTGATTTTCAAAGTTATCTTTTTATAGTTAAATTTATACTCAAACTGAAGGTTTCGATTAAATGAGTTCAACGGTATATACCGTGCGTGAATCTGATGTACAAAACTTAGTGACTTGTCTGCCCCAAAATTTAAAAAGATAATAAAGTAAAAGAATACAAGTATGTCGTTGAGACAATTATTATATATTCAATTTTGGATCGTTGGGTAGGTCTCGTGAAAAGATGACCAACGATATATAACTTGACGAGTTTGGACGTACGTGTGAAAAATTATGAGCGAAATAGACGCTACAGTTTAATAAATAAATAAAAGAATTTCACTCCCTCCGTCCAGAAAAGATCTTTCCACTACCTTTTTTTCGTCCGGAAATAATCTTCATATTCTACCTTTTTATTCCAATTCTTCCAAAAATACCCCACCCTTTCCTTTTTCTTTTCTCCTTGCCTCTTGTTCTTCTCCATTTCCCCAATTTCCATTCTCTCTCTTCTCCTCATTTTCTTCTTCTTCTTCTTCTTCTTCTTCTTCTTCGTCTTCGTCTTCTTCCTCTTCCTCTTCTTCTTCCTCTTCTTTTTCTTCTTCTTCTTTCTTCTCGTCTCTATCTTCCTCCGTCTATCTCATCCTCTCCTCTTTATCCCCTTCATCTTTGTTCTTCTATATCTCCTCCTCTTATATCTCTTCCATTTCTCTTCTAGATCTGAGCATGGCGGTGATGGTGGCAACAGTGACGATGGTGAGTCTAGATCTCCACTTCTTCCTCTTTTTCTTCTTCTCCTTCTCCCTTAGGGATGTCAATGGGTCGGGTTCGGTCGGGTTTGAGTATATTTAAACCCGACCCGACTTAGGTTGGGTTCTGGTTTGATTTTGGCGGATCGGTTTCGGATAGTAATTATTCGGATTCAGATTCAGTTCAAGATTCGGTCGGGTCGTTTACGGTAAAATTCGGGTTTGAATACTTATAAAAGTATTCTTGAAAATTTTAAGATTGGAATTCATTTTAAATTTAAAATTTTAAAGATGACTATGAATTTAAGCTATTAACAAAAATAATTATGACCCTTAAAAAACTAAATAGTAAGTTTCAAATAATAATATACGAATTACAAAGAAAATGTCATATGTATGATTTACACAATTAAACCACAATAAAAATGAAACACAAAAAATGCAATACATTTTAAAACATTGTACTTCAAAAATACATGGAATATAGGAATTTAGGGTTTTAATAACTTATTAAAAGTCGGGCACATGTCGGGTCGGGTACAGGTCGGGTCGGTCAAATATACCAACCCAAACTCGACCCGACAAAAGTCGGGTTCGGTTTAAATTTTTTCGGGTCGGTTTCGGATATTTAGTTTTTCGGTTCGGATTCGGATATTACAAGCTTCGGTCGGGTCGGTAAAAGTCGGATTCGGGTGGAATTGCCATCCCTATTCTCCCTCTCCTCCTTTTTTCTTTTAGATCTACCTGCATCACGGTGGCTTCGATGGTGGGGCTGCGGGTAATGATGGGGCTGACCGGCGGTGGTGGGGTGACGTCGATGGTATGTTCAGATCTGCACTCCTCTTCTCTTTTTCCAATTTCTTTCTCATCATTCTTTATTTTAGATTTGATGGTAGGGCTCTGGCGAATATGGTATAATGATGGTCGGAGAAAAGAGCCATGATGGGTCTAGCGACAATAGTGTGACAATAGTGTGACTGGCGGCGAGGAGAGGCTATGATGGTGCTTGGAATTGGCTGATCGCAGGGCTGGTAAAGGGGAGGGAGAGGGAGGGCATTTTAGACAAAGGGGCGTTTAAAATGACACCAGTTACTTATACACTAGTTGCTTACACCAGTTCATTTGGGGTACCTACGGTGCTCCGTTTGTAAAAATGACGGTTCTTACCCCCCATAATCCTCCCCATAAACACCCCTCCCGCCCCCCTCCCTACCCTGGCAGTAAGCAGTATACTACCAGGGTAGGGAGGGGGGCTGGGGTGGGGGGCAAGGGTGGGGCTGGAGTGGGGTGTTAAGGGGGAGGATTAGGGGGGTAGGAACCGTCGTTTTTACAAACGGAGTACCGTAGATACCCCAAACGAACTGGTGTAAGCAATTGACACCAGTAGCACTGGTGTCATTTTAAACTTACCGTTACACAAATTACACTCATAGTCAACATTCACTAAAAATGAGGAAAAGTTAAACCAAGAAGTTTTTTTCTGGATGGAGGGAGTATAATATATAATAATTATAATAAATAAACAAATATGTACTTTCCAACTTCTAATTCTAATGGCGTAAGATTTCCTAATCCGATTAGAAAACCCACCCATTAAATCTTTACTCCGTATATACTTCGGGGTCTGTATTATTAGGGAGTGTTGCATTGCTTGATTTGCTTCTACACTACTGTTCAAACATCAGTTTCTTCTTCGCTGAGAACGGCGACCACGTCTACACAAAGGAGATTGCTGAGAGAAACTCTATGTTCTACCCCTCTCCTCTCTATCTTCTCCGTCACTGTTGTTTGGAGTTGCCGCCAAGGATTTCCGCTTGGGCGAGTTACTGGCCGAAAGAGGTAGGTGGGCATGGGTCGGAACAATTTGGGTTTTATACGGTCCCACATTTTGTCTTGTTGAAACGATTTGGGCCACAAGTTTATCTCTCTTAGTCTAGTATTCGAGATCGAGTTAAAACGGAACGAGTTTGAGTTGTCCTGCTTTGTCATTATCTGAAATTAAATACTCCCTCCGTTCACAATTAAATTTCCCACTTTCCTTTTTCGTCCGTCCACAAAAAAACTTCCCATTTCTATTTTAGGAAAGTTTTTGCAAATGAAATGTCCATTCTACCCTTAATTCTCATCTTCCTCTCCTTTCTTCTTTCTTTCCTTTTCTTCTTTCTTCTTCCGTTTTTTTTCCTTCCTTTTTTTCTTTCTTTCTTTTTCTTCTTTTTCTCCTTCTTCATTCTTTTTCTTTTTCTTATTACTTCAATCCTTCTGCTTCTTTCTTCTTCCCTCATTTCTTTCTTTCTTTATTTTTTCTTCCTCTTCCGATCTTTTTCTTTTTCTTCTTCGGTCTTCTTCCTCTTCTTTTTTCTTCTTCATTTTTTATGTTTTTTCTTCCTTCTTTCATCAGCTAGAAGAAGAAATTATTTTCCAGATCTGGTTGCATCTTCACCGGATCTAGGTTTGTAGTGGCAATTTTTTTAAATTTTTTCCAGATCTGAGGTGAGATTTTGATTTTCTTCCTCAATGAAAAGTCTGAAAATAGATCTTGGCGATGAAGAGGGTCAGCGACGGAGAGGATGCGGGTCAGCGACGACAAGGATGCGGGTCAGCACGGCGATGGGTGCGGGCCAGCTACGGCGATGGGTGCGGGCCAGCTACGGCGATGGATGCAGGTCAGCGACGGCGAGAGGATGCCCGGGGCTGCGACGGCGGGGGTTGCGGAAGCATCATCGTCATCGGTGGTAGTGCTGAAGCGCCGGCGGCGGTGGTGCTGAAGTACTGGCGTCGGTAGTGGGGGATGGCTTCAGTCAGTGGGGGTACACGGGTGTGCAGGGCAGTAAAGAGGAGGGGCATAATGGGAAAGTCAACACAATTTTCATTTTACATAAATTTGCGCACCAAGTCAAAGCGGGAAGTTTAATTTTGGACAGAGGGAGTATAAAAATACAAATACTTAAGGGGGATAAAACTCACTTTGACTTGTAAAATAATGAAAAAGTGATATATTTACTTAGGGCGTGTTCTTTAGGACTGTAAAAAAAGAGCTGTATGTTGGACGAAACTGGAAAAAACTGGAAGAAACTGGAAAAAACTAGAAGAACTGGAAGAAACTGGAAGAACTGGAAAAAACTGGAAAAAACTGGAAGAAACTGGAAAAAACTGGAAAAAAATGGAAAAAACTGGAAGGAACTGGAAAAAATGGGAAAGAACTGGAAAAAACTGGAAAGAACTGGAAAAAACTGTAAAACCTAAAAAAACTTTAAAAATATTTATTTTAAATTCTTGTTTTTATAAATTATTATTATTATTATTATTATTATTATTATTATTGTTATTATTATTATTATCATCATCATCAGCATCATAATCATCATCATCATAATCATCAACATAATCATCATCATCATCACCACGTTATCTTAGTGAATGTCTTTAAGATATAAAAAAAAGT